AAATTTGGCACGGTTCTCTAGAAATTTATGACATGGGTGTGGGACTTGACTTTTTTAGAGATCTGTGTCAAATTTAATTGTGATCCTTTAGGGTCCTACACACATCAATATGGGAGGGTCTCATAGGATCATTACTATATATATATATACACACACACACATAACGTCTATGATAAGAAATGAGAAGTATTTTCACCTATAAGCCTGGTGCCATTCGATTTTTTTGGATGACATGGAAAAATCAAATATATTGAACATGCTATGTTTGTTGCTATACATTATACACTTTCGCCATATGGCTCTTTTAAGAGTTTTCTATATATATATATATATATATATATATATATATATGGTAGTGATTTTATGTAATAGCTTGTATCATAGCCTATGCAACCGTACTTCTAGAAAACCATATTTGTGGTAATTATATGACCCAAAATTTTGCACACATATATTTCATCTCAATCTATAGAAAAAACTAATTTGCATCCTATATGAGGTCAAAATGACTCCCCTCCAACAATGAATCTAGATCGTTCATCTGATAAATTTCAAGATCTAAGCCTTTTATGAATTCAAAATTATTTTTTTCTTTTTTAATATTATTAATCTAATGATAATAAAATTATCTAAAAATTTTAGAAAGAAACAAGGTCATTCTAAAGCCTATATCGAAGCATCTCACCAAAATGGGCAGCCTATGTTAATTGAACTAAAAAAAAACTTTCTAAGTTGTGTTTTCAATGTTTTCCTTTTTGTGATTGTTCATTAGAATTAAAAGAGTGTATATTTAAAATTTGGATTAAACAAATGGCCTTAGCATAGTTTTAGGAGGTTGTTGCAACGGTTGTATACTAACATAAAGCAACAACCTTCAAAAACCATGTTATGGCCATTTGTTTGATACAAATTTTAAAATAAACTCTTTTTTCATTCTAACAAATAATGGAAAAAAGAAAAAATTGAAAACGCAACCTCAAAGGCATTTTTTTAGCCCAATAACATCAGCTGTCCATTTTGACATGATGCTTAGATTGATGTCTTAGAAGGATTTCTTTCTTGTCCAATTTTTTTAGATGGCTTTATCATTATTAGATGAACTATGTTAAAACAGAAAGAAATGACTTTGATTGTGTAAAGGCAAAGATCTTGAAATTCACCAAATGAATGGTCTAGATTCATTCTTGGAGAGGATTCATTTTCACCACATCTAGAGTTTAAATTAAACTTTTGTTTTTTTGGGATTGATTATTGAGATGAAAAGAGTGTGTGTGTAAAATTTTGGATCATATAAATACCACAAACATGGTTGTCTAGAAATATGGTTGCATTATATTATGATACAATGGTTGCATGAGATCACCGAGCATATATATATATATATATACTAACATAGAATGTTGGGATAATCTGTCATCTTATCATTCGTTAAATAATGGATAGCTCCTCTCTCTCTAAACTTAAAAGAACTGGCTCAGGCTAGAGACTCTGGCTAGGACCTGAGTAACTTGGGGGCTCATCCGAGTGGAATAGTAATGTTTGTGAAATTCGTTACGGTTAACTAATTTCACTTTTCGACGAGTGATTGATTAGGAAGTCACCGATTAAAAGGGGCCCAAGCGCATGATTCAGAGAGAGGGGAGTGAGAGTTATTATTGATGGGGCAAGGACACAGTATCTCCTGTTGCTCCCCACTCAGAACCATGATTGATGAAAACCCTCAAAGCAGTTTCCTCTTCACACACTCATAATGAGTGCAGCTTGCTAAAACAATGCACAAACCTCAGCAAAACTATGAAGCAAAAGACACCATCTTTCCCCACATTCCAAATAAATATATTGACATGCTTTTTTGTTTATGGAAAATTAAATATATTGAGTTCATGAGTAGATAATACAAATTTTAGCTCAAGACAAGAAGGAAAAGAGAGAGAAGACTGAGAGAAAGGAAGAGTGATAGGAAAGGAGTCAGAATGCTGAAAATGAATCCCTTTATTCTTTATCTCTAAGCTTTTCTTGAAAGCCTTGGGATTGAAGGCACATACAATCATAGCATGGAGGAGGTATAATCATCGACCTGTAATTGCAGTGAAAGGAAAAGCAAGCTTGTAAAGGTAAAAAGATGTTTGTGTGTGTATGTGGAGAGAGAGAAAAAGATGTTTGTGTGTGTATGTGGAGAGAGAGAGAGAGAGAGAGAGAGAGAGAGAGAGAGAGAGAGAGAGAGAGAGAGAGAGAGAGAGAGAGAGAGAGAGAGAGAGAGAGAGAGAGAGAGAGAGAGAGTAGAGTAGTAGTAGTAGTAGTAGTAGTAGTAGTAGTAGTAGTAGTACGTACGTTACGTACGTACGTACGTAGTA